AGCCCAGTGAAACTATCACAATTGATAACTGTATATCAACCTGGTTCCCATGATGTAAATGTATGTAGGTCTTAAAAAAAACCCAAAACAAAACCAAAAACCCCAAACAAACCACACACAAAATGAAACAAAACCACCATAACAAGAAACAGTGTAAGGAATCTAGAGGCTTGCAGAATCAAGCACTCAAGTTAGGAAATGCTAGCATTTGTTCATCTGTGCAATCCTAAATCAGGCATAAACCTCTGCACCTGATAAATCTTTTTAATTATATGATTACTTACTATTTTCATGAGTCTCTAGGATGAATCATATAGGTCAAAGCTCTATGATGAGTAAGTACTGTTCCTGTTGACAGGACCTCTGTGTAGCTGTAGAACTTGGAATATGTGTAGTGAATGAAGCATATCATCTCATGACAGAACCTGATCAGTGATTCTTGAATAGATTCTGTTCTGGCTTCTTTCAAACTTGGATAATATGGAAATATAAAAAAATTAAATTCTCACTACACAGTGTGTACAACACATAGTAAATATGCAGAATTGTTGAGTGCCTTTGTGTTCAGTGGGAACTGTGCTTTTACTGGTTTTAACTTTTTTTTCCCCAAACTTTTGTGCTTTTATTCTCTACAGAAAAGTCCTAGGTTTATAAATTCTTTTCTAATTCTGATTTCAGCACCAATATCTGTAAATACTGTGGGGAGGGGGGGGAAATATTTGGTAATATAATTAAATATATGGTAGACACTTCAAGGGAACAAATCAAAAAATGCAACAGATTTCTTGCAATCTTTAGTTTTCTTAAATACATGATCTGTCTGCTCATATATAGTGTAGCTAGAACTCTTAAAAAAAAAAAAACAAAACAAAAAAAACCCCAACAAAAGCCAAACAAAACCAAAACAAACAAAACAACCCAAAACCAAACAAAAACTGAACCAAAACTGAAACAAAACACCAAGCCAAAACCAAATAATCCAAACCAACCCCCCCTGACCTGCGAACTCTCATGATTGCCTTGAAGTTGTTTGTCTAAATATGTCACTTTAAAAAAGTCTCTCTTCATCTAAAAAGGTTTTGAATAGAGAACAATAAGCTAAAGAAAACTAACTGTGGCTCAGAATATCTTGCTGTCTTATGGTCAACTCTTGTAGTTATATGGTGCTTTCATTCTTCAGATTGTGGGGAGCACCAGCTAGTATCTGAAGATGAGGATTTAATTAGTTACTGTTTTAAGAAATATTTCCCAAGTATGTTGTAGTTTAAGTGTGTTTTTGAAGGACTAAGTCAAGAAGTTGAAGTGATCTTGATGCTAATTATTAAAGTTATAAGAGACTTGAGCTTTTGGTAGTCAATAGAGTTTAACTTTCAAGAAGCACTGAAGACTTCAACTTTATTGTTAGAATAATCTTAAAAAATTACAACTAAATGCAGATTTGTTCATAATTTCGTTTAGTTTCAGAACACCAATTGTAAAGAACAACTTTCCACCTGGATATCAGATCTCTACTCCATACAGCCAGCTCCCATATTTCCTACCGCATACTCCAGCAACTCCATTTCAAAATAAGGTTGGCTTGCAGGTAACAATTTTAGGCTGTCTTCTGCCATTTTTGAGTGCATATTTCCATTGGAGACTACTTTAGGTTCAATATATGCATGTGTGTGTATATGTATATTTTTTAAATCTAAGGTTTCTGTTCATCTTTCTGGATGAGTAATGGAAAGTAGCCTATATTGCTTATTCTTAAAATAACTGTACACTCATATGTATGTCTGAATTTAGTAAAATAAGTCAGCTTTTGAAAAATCAGTTCAGTTGTGACAAAATCCTGAAGCCCTTAGCTGAAACCTAAACCTTTTCAGATCCGTGATTCTGTGATCCTGCTCCATGACAGAGGCAAGACCTAGAGTCACTATTTTTGTTCTGCTATGCTTTTATAGTGGTACTACTCAATACAGTGGAGTACCTGCAAAGAGAAGCAATGTGTTAGGGAGGTAAAAGAAGGAAGAATTACATTTCTCTTCTATTTTGTAAGATTTCACAAATTTTGATGGATTTGTAGTGGCCTGAAATAATGTAAAAATGTATTGCCTTAGTTGGGTTGCATGTTCAGGTAGGAGTCTTTACAGTTGTAGATAGAATTGGGGGATAGGTTTAAGCTTCCTACCAGAGGATTAGTATTTAAAATGTATGGCTGTTCTACAACTGGGTGTAGTGGGTATGGGCAATGCAGGCTGCTGTTTCAGCTTCACAGCACTGAAGTCTGCTAGCTAGTAGTTAGCTTCAGATAAAATAGTAGGTGATTTGAGTACAGCTTGGTTAGTTGCATGCTGGGACTGAAAGTGTCTTAGTCTGGTTTCCAACATTATCTGTAAAGAGGGAGGTGTCTCTTAATGACCTGAGAAGCCTTAACAAAGAACACCCTGTTTTTGATTTCCAATGTGAAGAGCACTGGTATCTTTTGTAAGCATATCTTTTAAAGAGCGTTGATATCTTTTGCTCAACGATGTTACATGCCAAATGATGATTATTATACAAATACTTTTACTGTTTGGGCATCTTTAGCTTTCAAGACAGACATATTTAAAGTTTAGCTTTACCACACTTTATCTTGTTCAGAACAACCAATACAAAGCATATTAACTTAATAAAAAGTAGAGCTCTGCCACATTCTGCTGCATGTATACCAATAGTTATTTTCTTAACTTTTTCTGTATGTACCTAGGTTCCAGCTTCTATACCTTCCCATGAGTGTCTTGCCATCAAAGGAAAAGTTTATACAATATTAAAGCAAATAGGTAGTGGAGGCTCAAGTAAGGTAAGATGCTCTTTTGTCCTTTTAGACAGTCACTCACTTACACAGTAGTAGTTGTATTGTGAGCATATGTGGTGAAGTCGTCTAATAAGGAGTCCTTTTGGTTTCTGCATGAAGGCCTGAAGGTAGGTTGTGTATGCTCTTGGAGACAACAATTTCTGTGTGGAGTATTAAAATTCCTAATAAAATCAACTCTTTTGTTATAAGAGATGTGTTGCAGTATTACTGTACATCTTAATTTGAGGCTGTTGTTTAGGGCAGTGTGATTACATTGTTGGGAAATGTGTGGCTTGTAAGGTTGATTAAAAGTTCCTGAAGTGGACAGACCATCCCTTATTACTGGAGTCTTCTGTAACTTGTGTGAGTGAGAAGTGGAGTGTAAGTATGACTGAAGTGGTGAGTGAGCTGCTTTCGGGAAAAGTGGGGTCACAGGAGTTTGAGAGACAGTTTTGGCATAATCTCTTGTACAGAAGATAGTTATGTCAAAAACAACATAAGCAGTTTTGCATGAGTTAGATTTCTCTTCTGTCTGCTTTTTTCTGTATCTGCATCTGTATGCATCTGCCTGTGAAGACTGTATTACTAGTTACAGAAACTGCCTGAGAATTTGTGTGAGGGAAATCTGATATGTGTACACATTTATTAATCCTTAGTAACAGCCTGTGTATTACTTAGTCTGCAGTGAAATGGGAAGTGAAATGGCTACTTGTAGTTAATTTGAGGCATGCAGTGACATATACATTGGATACTTAAGCTAGATGATAGCATTTCTGCTTAAAACTTTTTTTAAAGTACCTTTTGACTTGTACAAAAATTGCCCAGAAAGCTTAGTTAGAGCTAAGTTTAAAACTGAGTATATCTAAGCTTATCCCTAAGTCCACTAAATCCTCTGTTTTTTTGTTTTAAATGCGTGGGTTTTCCCCAACTGGCTCTAATTGCCTGAGATGGAACTGCAGATTGACCTTGTTTTATAGCTTTTTTTTAAATTAAAAATATTTGATAGTTTTCATTTCACCAGTAGCCTAGTTGAATGAAATATGCTCAAGCTCTTATGTTGCTGTTTTGCAGGTGTTTCAAGTACTGAATGAAAAGAAGCAGCTATATGCTGTCAAATATGTGAATCTAGAAGAAGCTGATCAGCAGACTATTGAGAGCTATAAGAATGAAATTGCTCATTTGAGTAAACTGCAGCAACATAGTGATAAGATAATCCGCCTTTATAGCTAGTGAGTAAACAATTTTATTAAACCAGTATCTTTGATATAAAGAAGTTGCCTTAAATTTTAACATAAGTACATTTATTTCTTTTTAGTGAGATTACTGATCGTCATATCTACATGGTAATGGAGTGTGGAAATATTGATCTCAATAGCTGGCTCAAAAAGAAAAAGAAAATTGATCCATTGGAACGAAAGAGCTATTGGAAAAACATGCTGGAAGCTGTTCACACAATCCATGAATATGGTATTCTTAAATAATTCTGGGTATTTGTATGGGTTATATGGCACAGACAATATGAGTGTGTTTAAATTCTTGAGGTTGTACTGCTCTTAGTTGTGGTGTAAGCCTAGTGATCTTCAAAGATGGGTATTTTACAGAATCATAGGGGTTGGAAGGGATCTCAGGAGATCATCTAGTCCAACCCCCCTGCCAAAGCAGGTTCCCTACAGCAGATTGCCCAGCAAAAGCATCCAGGCAGGTTTTGAACATCTCCAGAGATGGAGAATCCACAACCTTTCTGGGCAGCCTTTTCCAGTGCTCCGTCACCCTTACAGGAAATAAATTTTTCCTTAGGTTTGTGTGGAACTTGTGGTGTTCCAGTTTTTGCCTATTGCCCCTTGTCCTGTCACTGGGCACCACCAAAAAGTTCAGCCCCATCCATTTGGCCCCAGCACTTCAAATATTTATAGACATTGATAAGGTCCCCTCTCAGTCTTCTCCAGGCTGAAGAGTCCCAGCTCTCTCAGCCTCTCCTCATACAGCAGATGCTCCAGACCCCTCATCATCTTTGTGGCCTCCGCTGGACTCTCTCCAGAAGATCCCTGTCCCTCTTGAACTGGGGAAACCAGAACTGGACGCAGTATTCCAGATGTGGCCTCAGCAGGGCAGAGTAGAGGGGGAGGAGAACCTCCCTCGACCTGCTGGCCATGCTCTTTTTAATGCACCCCAGGATACTGTTGGCCTTCCTGGCTGCAAGGGCACACTGCTGGCTCATGATCAGCCTGCTGTCCACCAGGAGACCCAGGTCCTTTTCCACAGAGCTCCTCTCCAGCAGGTCAGCCCCTGACCTGTATTTACTGTATTGTAAAAAAAAAAATTTCAGTGAAACAAAAGACAAGAGTAAATCTTGATGCAGACTTTCTTTGCTAACTCAAAGGGAACTCCAGGTATCACTGTTGTATAATGCTTTCTATTTCCTTGCAACAGTCTGAAAATAATCTCTTCTGTTTTTAGACTAAATTGTTTACTCCCAGTACTGCTTGTTCTCCATTTGACTCAAATTTCAGCCACTTACCCTCTCTGAAGAAACTTTGACATTAGTAACAGGTTTTACACAGCTCTGTCGTCTTTACTTTGACATAGTGTTTCAGCTTTTTCTCATGGTTCTTCAGGCCTTCCTTTCATCTTTACTTATGTAATTGAAGTGCATGTGTTTGTATTATGTTTGGCTCTAGAACGTAAAGGAGAAAGCAGATTTGTGTCCTTTTCCTATTTAAGGAAAAAAAAAGTTGAGACCTGTACATATAGCAGAGAGCATCACCTCTTCACAGCACAAGAACTCTAGAACATTCAATAATATAGAAAGACAGCAAAATGTACTATAGCACAGGCTGCATCCTGTGTCCTTGAAACAAACAGTTTTGCAAAATACAGAAATGAACTGATTGATTATATGGATAATAACCAAAATTCATAATCAATTGTGTAGGTAGGATTTGTGAGAGGTCAGTCAGGTAATACTCAGTGAATAGTACCTTTGAGATTAGTAAGCAGAAAACATCGGACTGAGCAATGTAATTCTTTTAAATACTTGCTTAGCTAATTATTTAAGAGAAAGCTAGAGGAGTGAACAGGCCATTGAAATGATCCAGAACAGCAGTCCAGTATGGCAGTGTACAAACTAGAGGGCCTCTCCCTAACTGAGAGAAACTATGCAACTCGAGTCTCTGGGAGCTAATTTGGGGGTGCATGCAGAGTTGAATAAGTAACAATTCAAACTGTAAACTCGTGTGAGTCTTAACTGTTTAAAAGGAAATGGAAACACTATGAAATCTGCAGAGTAATTTGGTTTCAACCAGGTAAAGCTGATCTGCACCTTTTCTCTGTGCAAGGGTTATGGGAACTGAGCAACATAAGAAGTAGTATCCAAGTAGTAACTTGGATTGACTAAACCTGGATTGACTTTAAACTCTATTTTACAGGCATTATTCACAGTGATCTGAAACCAGCAAACTTTCTGATAGTTGATGGAATGTTAAAACTAATTGACTTTGGTATTGCAAACCAAATGCAGCCAGATGTGACAAGCATCATTAAAGATTCTCAGGTGAAATACTTCTGAAAAATTGATGTACACTTTTCTGTAAAGTCCTATAGTACTCGCTGATTATGTTGATTAATGTAGTAACTTCAATGAATACTGAAATTCTATGCTGAATGGGTTTATATGTGTATATAAATACTCATATATGCATTTTTAGTTTTTTTATTGAATGGAATAACAATGGCTTTCAGCCTTAATAGAAATAAATTTTTAAGATGCTTTCCAGTGTTTTTAAGACAAAAAATCTGACTTTTTATCAAGTGACTGAAATGGAGTGCATGCTTCACTTAAAGGAATGTTTTTCCATTTTTATTATTACTAGGTTGGCACAATGAATTATATGCCACCCGAAGCAATAAAAGATATGTCTTCATATGGAGAAAATGGGAAATCTCGATCTAAGGTAACATGAACTTTTTTCTCCTGTTCCCTTCATGTTCAGAAGGTAATTCAGGCACATCTCTTAAGACTTAATTTTCTCAAAATCTTCCACTGAAACTAGAACATAAGGAAATCCATTGTGCCATGATGGTAGTGGGCAGAGACTGGAGGTTAAGTTTATTCCCCTCAGCTACATAAAAGCATTTTGCAGATGGTGTTTAGAAAAATGTAAGTGCTGAATTAATGAGTAAAGTTGAAAGCAAAACATGCACAGACTTGGGTGTTGGAGGAGCTGATAATAATATAATGATAATATCTAAACTGATAATAAAGCAATATAGAACAGTCTTCCACTATGTTATCAGTGTGAATGGGACTGAACAGCAATACAGAGTACAGTGAAATGCATATGCAGTCTTTCACACATCAGAGGCTGTACTGATGACTGTTACAGAAGTCTTGTGAGCATGTTAAGGGTCCACAGTGCTGTGCCTCTCTGACAAATCCTCCTTTGCACTGTAATTGCTCCAGGCTAGAGCTTTCAGGGAGTGTTTCCTGGAGGGTCTTCCATGGAGTGAATCATTCCTCAGTCACTTCTTGGTTGCTTACTGTGCTGTTTATGCCCTTTTGTTTTAGCTTAATTCTGCCAAAAATTGATGGAGCTCCTATGGCACTGCAAGCTGCTACACAGCTACATTTTAGCATGCTACATAAATATCTCTGGCTTAAAAATCCTTTTCTGAAAGAAAGAAAATTTGCTTTCTGATTTAAACCATTGCTAATGTGCTTGCTTAAACAACAACATATGGTGCTTGTGTCATTGTCATATTTTTGGATTCTTTTAAGTGTGAAGCAGGTTTTGCAAGAAATAAGTGATACCTAATAAGTATTTTAAAAGGTGATACAATGAAGCCTAGTATTTTAGGGGAAACATGGACGAGTTCTGTGCATTCTATTAATTTTTCTGCGCTACAGAGTACTCTGTATTGTAGAACTTTAACTTCACCAGGGCAATAGAATGTGAATGATGAGGAAAGTACCTGATACTTTTTACCTTTAAAAGTTTTACCTTTACATTTTTAAAAATTGCATGTGATGTGCAGACTTGTTCTGGAGCTCAGCTCATCTAAGCAAAAATCTAACCGCTGTGCTGAGAATCAGGCTCTCTGTCTGCCTTTCCTCACTTCCTTCCTCTCCTTCCCTCCTCTAGTCTTAGGTGCTCTCCTTAAAGTGTTTCAGCTTCTACAGGAGAAGTGGAAACTGCTCCTGTAAGGAACAGCCTAGGTGTGGAGGGTGACATCTGGATCTGAATCCTTTAAATGCAAAGAAACTGAACTATGCCTTCCCATCTTGGGGATATAGCTGTGATGTCTTACTGGTTTCTGGATTGAATTATTTTAGTATGCTTTTCTTTGTATTTACTCATAAATCTGAAATCAGAATCCTGCTGTTCAACTGGTTAAGGACTAACTTTAATTTTATTTTAAGTTAGTTGTTCAAGTTGATTTTCAAAGATAATAAAAATAGCTTTCTTACGGAATATTACTGAATGAGTCTTAGTAGTTAACGGCATGCTGTCTTGGTGATTTTGTGGGATAGTTACTAAGATCTGTTATCCAATGTAAAATAGATATACTCTTAAGTGAAATGGCTGTACAATTGTATGATAAATTAACTGAAGGGACAGTTCCTTAAGTGAGGAGTAATCTTAACTTTTTTGTTCTTATATTAGATAAGTCCCAAAAGTGATGTGTGGTCATTGGGATGCATTTTGTACTGCATGACATATGGAAAGACTCCATTTCAGCATATAACAAATCCAATCAATAAACTGCATGCCATCGTTGATCCTAGTTATGAAATAGAATTTCCAGATATTGCTGAGAAGGATCTTCAAGACGTGCTAAAGGTAACTGTGCCTTAAGATTAATTTTGATTGAAATAATGGCAACTTCTGTATTTAAAGCATATTTTTTAAACTGATTGAGTTGTGCTTGAGAAACTTTTTTCACAAATAAATGCTCACTGCTACTGGTAGTAACAGGCCTTATTCCAAAAGAAGACTTAATGAAGCTAGAGCTACTTCATATAGCTCCAATAGTAAAAGTCTATTTTTAGCTCAGTAGCAAATAAACACTTAAAGCAGTCTGGCTTAACTCCTTTGGCTGAACAACCCAAAGTACATACAGTAGCTTTTGTACTGGCTATTCCTTTCCCTCACCCTGTGTATTTGTCTGCTTTTGAAACTTGGCCTATGCTTTTACTCAAGCCCTAATTGTGTTGCTCAGCTTGTAACAGACTTAGACTAAGAAACACTTATTGCCTTAACTTTCAAGTCTTACTGTCATTTTGTGTCATTCAGAATAAAAGGATATTGTAGCTTCTGGTCTTCACCTTTTCTGGCATTGTTGCTTGAGTAAAACAATACCAAACTTTACTCTGAAGATAATAACTAATGAAGGCAATTGGGTTAATCTGTCAATGTATTTTGAGTTGAGTCTTCCTGAGTATGTAGTGCGGCAGTAAGAAGTTCTGACATGCACCTACAGGGTCTTTTAAATAGCCTCCTTAATTTTTAAGAAAATTCTTAATGTATAGACAAAGCATTCTTCCTCTTTTTTTCATTTTCAGCGCTGTTTAATAAGAAATCCTAAACAAAGAATATCTGTTTCGGAGTTGCTGATACATCCCTATGTTCAAATTCAAAGTCACTGTCAAACAGGTACATTTATTTTAAAATACATTTTTATTAAAGAGTATTTACACTTCTGTTTAAGAAAACAAAATGCTTTACTCTTACATGTGCTTTCCACTTGCTGGCATAAGAACCTATTTTGTTTGGTGCCTATGGGTGTTTCAGAAAAAACTTCTGTATTTTAATTCTTGAACTCTTCATTTCAAACCTGACTTTTTGTATACCTCTTACAAACTGTAGTGGTAATTTATACATAGTTGTATCCAACTTTAATGTAATTATAAATTAACTGCAGGTGTTCCAAATGCAAAAGGAACTACAGAGGAAATGAAACGTATCCTTGGCCAGCTTGTTGGCTTGAATTCTCCCAACTCTATTTCTAGAGCTGCTAGGGTAAGTAAATTTTCTTTTCCATTTGTATGGTAGTGCATATTCATGCAAACAAAGGTTAGAATGTTTGGTAGTGAAAGCTGAAAGGATACTTATCAAAGCTGTAATCACAGCTGGAAAGACATTACACATTGTAGTGCTTTTGTTTGCAAGCATGCAGAATCTCCTGAATGAGAAGGGTTGAAAGGATGATGATGATCTTGACTTTTTACTTCCTTTCTACCTCCAAGTATGTCTGTATTGCTTTATTTCCAAATCCTTCACTGCTCCAGCATCTCCTCTCTGAAACAGTCCTTACTTTTAAGCTGCCCAAAAACTGTAGTAGGTCTTCAAATTTAAGAACCATAATTATGGAGAAATGATCTCAATTGATCTATTAAGTGTGCAAGCTTTTGGACTGCAATTATTCTTACTTCCTGGAAGTTGCTGAACTGTTACTGCACTGCTATGTATAAATCAGACCCTGTATGTTGAGGTATTATGATTGCAGCCTCTCAATTTACTGCCTGAAAGAGAAGCTTGGTAACTCTTCACCAACTCTGTTCTTTCTACCTGTCTCTCAGAAGAGGTGATGGTGGTCAAATATGTAGTAAGTTGAGATGGAATGCAAAGCTGCTTTCATGAGGAGGAAAGCAAATTCAGTATGCATAAAGTAAATCTCAAGTTTATTTACACTTACACTGCTAGTCATACCTGACTTTTTTTTAAAAATATGGAGGTGAACAAGAACTTATCCTTTTAACAGTATTGTGACATGGCTATGTTCATGGCTACTGATCTTTCCATCTTATATAAAGCTTACTCACCCTGAGTATGTAAATACCTCTCTCTTCCATGCTGGTGTTTCCCCATCAGAGACAATTAATAGAGTAAACTTGATTTTAAATCTTGGCAATTAGTTTGTTCTCTGCCAACTTGTGAAGCTCTATACCTTTGCTCATGCTGCTGTTTTCTTTTAGGCACTACATTGCATTACAAGTGGTACAACTATAATATCTTAAGTGTATCTTTACTTTCTGATTTGAGAGAAAGTTTAGTATGGAGTTTAGAATATTTCAGTATATGATGACTTATTTCAAGTGGTAATGTTTGTTATAAAGTTATAGGTTGAATTCATGTGCAATACAACTTTGTTCACCTGAATGCCTGTGTTTTTATTAACTTTCAGACTTTATATGAACAGTGTAACAGTGGCAAAAGTCTCGATGTATCAGCATTTGCAAAACTTGGGAGTCAAAAATCACGGACAACAAAATGATGTACTGCTGTTCAGGATGCAACAGAGTTGTCTGGTTGGTTAAACTATTTTGTGCTGCTAGCTTTTAAAAGGACACTCAGCATAAAGTTCACATTTTAAAACTTTTTTTTGTGTCTTCTGATAATGCTTGCAGATCATTAAAAAGAATTTAATTGAACGTTTTTCACTGTGGGCTGTTTCTTTGCATGCCACTTGGATTGAACAATGAAAATAGCTAGTTGGTGATTATGGTCTTTGTAAGTAACAAAGAATTACAGTGTTTGGAGTACAAAAACTTGCATGGGAATCTTCAAGCTGTTATCCTCCTGAAGCTAAAACAAAAGTTCCTAAAATCCCAATTGGTGTACATGAAAAACATGCAAATATCTCTTGAATTATCTCCTCTGACATGAGCACAGAGTAGTATGCTCTTCTGTCCCTTGTCAACCAACACATCTTGTGACCAATTTTGATTATAACTAAGGAAATAAGCACTCTGTTTATGTAAGTGATCAGTTACAGTACTGGTAGATACATGTCACCCAGTTTTTGAGCTGTTCCTGTGGTTAAGCGATGTGGTGGAAGTGTCAGTACTGATCTGAAGAGTTATATGAATAAAATGGCTTTTGTTCTATTAAAAATGCTGCTATAAATCTAATATGCTTTTCAGACTTCAAAATAATAGAAAACCCATCAAGATTCATGATGGTCAGAAATCACTAATTTGGATTTTTAAAAGCACTTATACTAAGCACTCTAAAATGCACTCAGTGTAACAGGACTGTTTTTTACACAACTGTTAGTGGATTGATCAGGTTTTGTTTTAACTGAATTACATTTCTGGTGCAAATTTATGAATTTTAAAGTTACTTAAATCATCATAGAATCATAGAATGGTTTGGATTGGAAGGGACCTTAAAGATCATCTAGTTCCAACCCCCCTGCCATCAGCAGGGACACCTTCCACTAGACCAGGTT